AGCTAAAAGCATTGTTTTGTCATTTTGTGAATGCTCAGAGAGCACGATAACTAGAAGCTGTGCATGACTTTGTGTGAGTTTGAGGATTTAGTCCTAACTTTTAGTCATCTTTAAAGTCGTGTCATCGAACAGCTGAATCCATAATAGAGTAGAATAGAATCTAAAGGCAGGTTCATCCTTTTCCGAATAAGTGTACCAAAATGTACATGTAGAGGCTCCTCAGTCGGTCCTACCATCGCTGATACGCCCTTTCTGAAGAATTCAAGCTTTGTTGGACTGCAAGATTGGTTCTCTTTGATGGCTTGTGTTTTCTAATACCTGTACCAGGTGCTGATAAGGTTTGATAGAGTAAAAAGGAAACGACAGAATATAGATTCAACAATCGTTCACTGACTTATAAATGACTTATTCATTCCTACACTGTGGACATGATTAGACAGACGAGCCAACTTACATTTGTTGAGTCATTGAGTTATTGCTGTAGTCATTTGAAACAGCTGCACTCAAATTACAGAAGTGATTGGCAGGATGACAGTCAGGGTACATTTTAATTCATTCATTCATTCCCCCCCCCCAGTATTGACACCCCTGGGGTCATCAGCAGAGTGTCACAGCTCTTCAAAGCTCACCCCGACCTCATCGTGGGCTTCAATACCTTCCTGCCACCTGGATACAAGATCAAGGTCCAGAAACCTGTTGCTGGGTGAAAAAGAAAAAGTGTTCTTTGCTACAGAATTCATATTGAATTTGCTTGTGGTGAAGCATTTTTAAGGCTGCCATTATCATGCACTCTGATTTTAGAATTATTTTTCCTTTCAATTTATTTAATTTTTCTATTGTATTCGGTTACCCAGGATATACAGTTATCTACATTCATTCTATATTTGTTTTATTATAACCTATTACTTTATCATTCGTATGACTATTTCAATCAAGCTATACTGTATTAAATACAAACTATGTCAACGTATACTTTCATAAAGCTGTGTTTTTTTGGCTTACTAAGCTGATTTATCGGTAATTTAATGTTACTCGTTTTCCATTAAGCATTTGTTGAAATCACAGTTTGACTGTCTTGTATACTGTCAGGCATTTATTGAGAATAAAAGACGGGTATGAATAAAAAGAGTATCGTAAAGACAAAAAAAATAAAGAAAACGTACAGTATGGAGAGATAAGAAGTTAAAACAAAATCAATAGGTGAACTACAATAGGTGAAGTATGAATCAGGAATAAGATCAGTTGTTGTTTTATTTATATTTAATAATCCAGACAAACTCTGTGTTGTCTAGACAAAAATGTATTTCAAGCTACGACACATCCGACTCTCAATCTAACCTGAACCAAATTCACCTCATTTCAGGGCTAGATAATGAATACCAGTCATTTCGGCTGACAGCTGAAGGTCCAAAGCATCACTTTCCTCTTGAAATGCAGAGGTGGCGGCTCAGGGAACACTCCCACACTGCAGCGTACTTAACAAGTACTGTGAATTTGACTGTTGGGTTTCCCACCACACCAAAGTGAGCAGTGTAAGCAACGGTGTTAAAAAAGGAGTACCCACAAAACGATGTGTACTCCCAGTGCGTTGAAACACTGCAACCGTGAAGCATGCTGGGAGCTGAATTCAGCAGCATGTGGGCATTTCTCTCTCAACAATGCTTGTTCTTGGGTGTGGTACGATGTCCTCGGGGGAAACCATTGCTCTTTGTATGTTGCATTATCCCTGTATGGCACTGCGTCACAGGCCCTGAATCCTACACACAGAACAAGAGCGATTCATTCGAGATCCAAAACCTCTAATCTTCCTCCTAAAATTAAGATGTTGAAACCAGGGAAACAAACCTCGAATCAAGAATTCTGTTTATTGATGCTACTGCTGAGCCTTTGACTGCATAGATCTGGAAGCAAGTATAAGTTTGAAATTTTTGAAACTTTACATTTTAACCGCATGAGACTTAACTTAGTAGTTTTTGAACTGATGGGGACGTTCATGAATGCACAACCTAATATCAAGAACGCCTCAATTCTTCAAATTGAGAATTTGTAATTAGACAGAAATGTAAAATTGTGGACAGCTCTTTGACAAATCAACTGTGAATAAGTTTCTCTTCATAAAGTATTTTTTTTTTGCATCTGCAGGAAAGTGTTCAAGGATCACAAAGTCAGCCTCCCACCAGAATGGAGCTGCTCCATCGTGTATGAATGGATTTACTAACCTTCTAGAAGGAGCAGTCTCATTATGTGTGTGTTTTCATAACTGTAGTCTACAGAAGAGGGTTCATCAAAACTACAATCATAGAAACAAGCAACGTTCCCGATTTCACCATTGTGTTGCCTTCGGAATAGCAAAAGCAACGTTTTCAAAAGATTTTTACTGCTCATCTTAACGAATCTATTTAATTTCTCTTAACTTTTCTTTAAGTGCATTTAGTGTGATTGTTTGATAGCAAGTGATTAAAGCAGATGTTTACCGAACAACCCAACCTTAAGGTGAAGAGAAAAGGCATCTCTTCCATTACTTTCATTAATGGTTTAAGTAGAGCATTAGCCACTCTTAACAGTGATAATTGTTCCAGTCTATTTTCATTTAATTGTATTACAGTTGCATCTACGGAATACCACCCACCGCCGAAACTGCTTACAAAGGTCTCTCGAGCAAAGCTTCTTTTAAACCGCAGTAAGAGATGAAATTAATGTCAACAAATTAAAGAAAATCTTCTGAATAATGCGTGTTAAGATAAGTATTATCTTGTGGTGTGGTAACTTGAACTAAGTGGTTATGAAATTAAAACAGTATTTAAAAAAGGCTTTAGTTATTTTATAGATGCACAAATACACACCAAACAATTTGCATTTATTTTAACAATTTATATTTTATATTTATGATTCTATATTTAATATTTATTAAACATATCTGCTGCAATGTATGCACATATAAAATGCAAGGAAGGGCCAGCACAATGATATTTTATTATATTTTAATATATATTATAATTCATATAAATAAAAGGTTTATGTGGGGGAGAAGCTGACGAGCAAAATGAATTAGGGCAAAGACAAATACTGAGGCATTGTTGGAGTGAACGTTACCTTTATGATATTTGACAAGTGCAATTAATGTACAGACAGTGGTGGAAGAAGTACTCATATTTTACCTATAAATAAAAGCAGTCATAACATCTTGTTTATATGTTTACTTAGTAAGTAAATGTAACGAAGTAAAACCAAAATACTAAGTATCAAAATATCAAAGTAAAAGTTCTTATAATACAGAATGACCCGTTTCAATACATTTTCAAAATATATGTGTATACATATATTATATAGATCTCATTGTATTATTACATTATTATCATTGACATGTTAGCAGCATTGTAATGATGTAGCTGAGTCTAATTAAAATGAAGCCTGACTGACAGGTTAAAATTATAATGCATCATATTTTATTTAACTTGTTTTTGTATATTCAATCCTGATTATGCCAACTCACTACAGCTGTCCACAAAATGTAGAAGTGGAGTAGAAGAATAACACCTAAATAAAGAACAAGTACTGAAGCACGTCAGCTGAGTAAATGTACTTGATTACTTTCCGCCACTGTTCCCAGTCCTCTGCTCCCCCAGTACAGATGTTGAGTTTAGACGATAGTCATGGAGACTCTTCTGTTGTTTCTCTGGCGCTGCCTCGGTTTTAGCGGGTGATATTCAAAATAAAATGACGCGTGTACTAGTGTGCGCCAATGCCAACGGAGGGGGGCGTCTCCAACTATTTTGTTACAAACACGAATCCGGAGTAAGGAGTCTTTTTCCTGGGTATGTAACAGCTGGTTAAACTAAACAATATTAACAGTGTTGCCGATGTAACAAGTGAACGATGTTTGTGTCGAAGCGCTTTGTGGGGCAGTCGCGCCTCCGTATGCTTTTTGTGTCCTTAAATTAATTGAAGGGGGCTTTTTTTTTTTTTGGTGTAATGGTCGACTACAGAATAGCCCCCAAAAAATACATGGCAAAATGTGCAGGACGTCATTTTGTCGGGTAGTAAACAATCTCCTCGCGGGCTGCGTGGTGGTAATGTGAGGCATTCCGCGGTCTGGAAGTCGAAACCTTTCGTCTGCAGCGTTGTGTGAGCATGTAACGCTGAAGGATCGGTAGAGGTGGAGGAGGGGGGGGAGTTGTGGTGAGACATGTTAGACGTTTTACTCCCCGACTATTGAAGTAAACAAAGAATAGGATTTGTTAAGCGCGCGGTCGTCCTCTCTGCAGGAAAAAAAATGGGGCTGCGTGTTTTGTTTTTTGGGATCGCGGCGCGGAGAATGGCGTGGCTCCGCCGCGCCGATGTTTCCACACAGCGAACCGACGCCGTAGTTCCCGTTTCGTTTGACTTTGGCATTGTTTGGTAAGGGCAACCGGATCAGCTCTTGCCGAAGAGGGGAGGGGAAAGGTGCAACGTTGACCGCCTTTTGGGCCCCCCTGCTGTAGCGTTCATTGCAAAAGCGCCGATTTTCCAGATGATGCATTTTAGTGCCTTTTGTTTGGTGAGTGCAGCCTGTAAATACACACGTCGACCGACGCTGAGAGCAGGAGGGGGGGCCGATCCTCCTCACCGTGTAGCTCGGTGTTGTGTGTGTGTGTGTGTGCGTGTGTGTGTGTGTGTGTGTGGG